TGCTAGTTCACGTATTGGTGACTGTTTCTTCTACCAGTTAGAATTTTTTTTTTTTTTTAATTTCAATGGAAAGAGATTTCAAGTTAATAACTAGTAAGAATCAGCTCTGAGCAGCACCCAAACAACTAGTTTTAATGATGGCAATCAAGTGTGTAGAGCTAATTCTGAGACAGGCATGTAACATGCTGATTTTAATAAGCTTTAAAAAGGCAATCTCTAACTTTTAAAAGTCTCTGTTTAATTTAATCGTCCTTGGTTCATATGACGCCAAAACAAACAAAACCATTAAAATATGTTTTCAATATGTATTCACAGTGTTATTTGATGGTGTTTTAAATTAGCATCATGTTGGTAAAATACTGATTTGAAGAGCTTTAGAAATGGAAAGATGGCAACCATCAACCTCTCTGAGGGGAAAAGCAACACTTTTCTCTAAAAGTGAACAAAGCCAAGCCCCAAGACCTTGCTAAAGAGAGGCTATTCTGGTGACATGTAAATTGGTGCATCTGAGCATATGTATCATGTTTGGGTGAACAGTCAAAGAAGCTAAGGTGAGAGAAGAAACATTAGGCTCTTCAGATGTGTCAAAATACTATCACTCTAAAAACTCAGCAATATTTGGTTCCGTCACTTGCACGATCCTAGCATTCTGCAGCAGAGCTGTACAATGATCTTGACATTTCCTTTATCTAAATTATTTTCATCTGGGTGGCTAGGACTGAAGTGGAGACATTTCTTCTGAGTACTGTGTAGCTTTCACATTTTATGTGCATTTCATCAGGAAAACGTCAAACTTGCTAATAACAAGAAAATCTCCTCATTTTTAATCATGCCACTCCTGTTGCACGGGTGGTGATGGGGGGTGCAGACAAACAGGGCGTGGAGGAGGAAGCAGAAAGGGATCGAGCAGTCTGACCAAAAAAGAAAGAAAATGTTTATTTGGGTTTTAAAAGGACACACGCTCAGTTATCTCAATGTCTGTATCAGTGCATCATTAAATTCAGAATTTCACGAGTTAATAGAAACTTGGTTATATTAGGGATGCTTTTTCAAGGCCAGGTTTGAAACAGCATAATTATGTTCAACTGCTGTTGTTTGGAAAGGGCAAACAGCATCTTAGGCACAGAACAATGAAATTACAGCTGAGATTTAGGTTAGCAAAAGCCGTCTTCTGTAGGCTTTTATGATTCATTATTTCCCATTAAATACAGTATTAGAAGTGTACACTAGATAGCTCATGGTTGCTGCTCCCGGAGCACATTATCTATATTACACAGGTCTGGGGAGCAGAATTAGAAAACTTTGGGGGAATGAGCAATATGTGTTTGCTGATAGAAGTACCATATGGCTCATCTTCTTCAATTGCTTTCATTGCGACTCTGATGCTGGAGAAATTAAAGTTTTATTTGATGTGGCACAGCTTAATGAACTGTCTTCTGTTAGGAAAATTGAATATGTTTCCTGTTATTTGAGCACAGAGCCTCCATGGTTTGGCTGATGAGGGATGCATTATGTATTGTTTATTTAGCATTTTGAAAACAAAAGCAAGATATTGAAGGTAAAATTGATTACTGCTGGATTGCATTATATAATCAAGTTTTCTCCTTTTAAATTTCCCTTCACCATCTTTTTGTAATGTTTTAATGCAACATTGTCTCAGGTTTTTATTTTTCAAAAGGGTGTGGGGTTTGGTGTTATCAAAATACCTGTATTTGTAAATGAGCCACAAGAAACTCTAAACTCAGTATTGTTACATTTCTGAACTTGGAAGAATGATGTTTGAGAAGAAAGAAAAGAATTTCATATGTGTGAATCTAATTGCAAAACTTCTAGGGAGCCCCCAATCGGTTTTGAGAGGATCTAACATTTGGCTAGTCAAAGGGGAACGTCATTTTCTTTTGTTTGAAGTAGACCACTTAAGAACGTGCTGGGGTGGGGCTGTAAGAGAAGAAAAGGATTTTTAATATTTGGAGATACCAACTTGAAAATATCTAGTTTTACATTTTCGATTTACTTGCCACTGAGTGGAAAGTTTGATTTGACCTGTGACTCTTACATGGTGAGTTCATATTCTATAAATGCAGATTTTTTTTATTGAATAAAAAGGATTAAACAGAACGTGGCATCAAAAATACACTGATGGAAACTGGGGTGTCAATGCAAACTCTCTAAAAAGATAGCTTTAACATCATGCTTCATTTCCTCATTTTTGGTTTAGATCTGACCATTTTTAAAAGATTAAAAAAAAAATCTGAAAATCTCTGAAGGGACTGAACGGAAAAATCACCTTCTAATCTCTGATTCTTTCTTTCATTTTTCAGTGAGAAATATTCCTCACATGTGCCGATGACGCAAATACACCAATCTGTGACAAGCAACAAGGATAAAAAATAGTTAAAGGGAATCAGCATTTTTCTGGAATATACAGTCTGGCCCCCCCTCCCTCCTAAAGCTCCATTTGTCTTCTGTGATGTTTTGAGGATTCTGGCAAATATGGCAGTTCAACAAACTTCTCGCACAATCTAAATACTGTCTGTTCAAGAGAGGCTTCCAATGTTTATAGCCCATAAGTAAAGAAAAAAAAACAATCTGGTATTGAACCAAGAACAGTGCTCTTGAAAATGTCTCTGAACAAAGTGTTTAAGCAAAAGTTTGGTCACAGCTAGTCTCAATTCCTTATTCTTTCTCTTTCTTTTTTTTTTTTTCTCCCTCTGTGAGGAATTTTATATTCCATTATTTTGTTCCCTCTCTTGAAAGGACCAGATTAATTTTGAAAAATTAACACATGACTAGGAATTTGGTCATCCAAACTTCCTTTAAAAAGAGTTGAGAAGAAAACATCACATTTTTATGAACCCCATCTCCTGTCAGGGGCCTGGGAGGAGGAACACCATTACGCATTGTTATCAGCGTGGTGTAATTTGACTGTTGACAAAGTATCCGTGGCAGTGAGAATGAGCGCAGTTAGAAGTGTGGCGGATTGTAATCAAGAAGATGCTTAGCTGTGCAACACTGCATCTTGAGCAGATTTGAATCAACATTGCCTTAAGGGGACACACACATACCAAAAGAAAAAAAAAAATCCATTAATTTTTAGAGGGAAAATTAGAGTGGCACTTGATGAAGTGAAATTTGACATGCGTTAATTGCTCTGCAGCTCTCCTAATTAGAGATTTTCAAATTCTTTTACTGCTGTCACCACGATGGCACATTGTCTTGCTGGACAAATACTAAAATTGCAAATTGGTTTGATCAGGAAGTTTTCCATATGAAGATGGGACTGCAGCCTTTAGTCCACTTCTTAAAGGGAGGCAGCCGGAGAGCAGAGAGGACTTTCAGCTTTCTCTTCACCTCAGATGTAAAATCCTTGAAATAATTTCATTGGGAGACTTCCTATAAAGGAAGCAGGTGCTGACGCAGTTTTCTTAAACAGATGGAAACATTCCTTTGATACTTGTGCCTCGGCTTCGTATGAAATCTTTCAGGTGGGGGAGAAACGTCAGAGAAATGCTACGTTATATATACATTCTCATATTTCTACTTATATTCTCAGAAATTGGAGTGAGGTGGGGTTTTTTTTTTTTTTGAAAGGCCACATCTCACTTTTCCCAACTCCGATTTCTAAGAGATAATAGTGCTCCAGGATCCCCTTTCTGTCTTTAAGTAATTATCCTGCTGTTGGCCCCCAGGATGGCACCGAATATGATACTAGAATAATTTCGGTTGCCTTCTCCCAAGTCCTCTTGTCTAGCCCTGAACCTCTCTTAATTCATTAACATCTTGAATTTTTTCAATTTTCCATTTTCTTGCAATAACAATATTAATGCCGAGGTGAAAGCTTGATTGGAGCTAAATTACTTGTTACCTGCTGGCATTTATTTATATGGCATTGAATTATAAAGCTTTGCTATTGTCATGCCTTGGGCGAATTGTTTATGACACCAGTAATAGGAGTAATTGTTATTGTTGAAATTACCTGTCAGCTACCCATAGCAGTGGCCCTTGTCCCACTGACAAATAGTGACAAGGGAGAGGTATCCTCCATGCGTCCCCCTGATGGCTTCTCCTCTGATAATAAGAAGTGCAGGGCCTCTGATAATTTGCCTGTCACTGTTGAGTGCAGCTCAGAGAGAGTTGGCCAAATTGTTGTCATTCACTTTGACAAAGACAGCAAAATGCTCCCGTGCAGGAGGAGGATTATCAAAATAAATGAAATCGCTTACACCCCCTTTGTTTGTTTGGCTCAAGAATTGCCTGGCTTTGTATGAGGTGGTAAAATCAAGGTCCAGTTTTTATGGGTGTACCTCTTGTCGTTCCAAGATGAGGATCCCAGGGAACAAAAATCACGTTTGAAGAGCTGCTTTTTTTTTTTTTTTTTTTTTTTTGCCATTACATTGATTGCTAGAAAATTATATTCAGATAAAAAGAGAGGGTCAATAAAATTGTAACAAGCAGTCTAAACACGTGGGTTGAAGACATTTGTTTAAGACACAGGTAAAAATCACACCTTTTCTCTCTTGCCTTACTATTATTTCTCTTCTTTTGACCCATGTAGGCATTCAAATTCAATATGCCTTCAAAAATGCACCATTTTCCATTTGCAATCAAGTTTTCTTTAAAAGTTTCAAAATCTGCCTCTCTAAGTTTTGCAGCATTAAAGGATTATATAGTCAAATTTAGGATTATTTCAAATGGCCAGCTCCTTTCCATAAATTACCTTTTATTTATATACTATCTTCATGTGTAAAGAGATAAATGAAACGTGGTTCCAGGTATGAAGCATCAATTATCACAAGCTTACGGAGGAAGCAAAATGGCCCTGTTATTGCCAGAGCTCAAATATAAATATTTGCATTTTAAAATCCCTTAGTTGCAGCCTGTGAACCTGTCATAGAGGGGGGAAGGGGACCAGGGAGCAGCAGGGGTTCATGTCTGTGAGTGTCCACGTCTGAAAGGAATAGACTTCTGGCCATTAAAATAAACCACTGCTCTTGTAAAATCCAGAATCATTCTCACCTTTCCACAAAAGGCATCATTTCATGCCAGGAAAATTCTTATTTTTAAGGTGCCTGTGAGGCTATTCCTCATAGATCTTCTTGACAAATACTTGCTGTTATAAGAAGTTGGGGGAAAAAAAAGAAGAAAGAAAAAAAATAACTAGGATAAATGTAAAATATTGGCTCCTTTATAGGATAGTAATCAGCTGTTTATTGGTCTCTACCAGACAAGTAATGACCAACCACAGTGTTAAGTGCCAGGCGCATTGCCTTGGGCCCTTCCCTCCTAACACTGGCTATTATCTGATTAGAGAACCTCCAAAGAAGTCACTATTGCATAATTTTATGGGTCTTAACAGCGCAGGTTGGCTGGCAGAAAAACTACCTAGGAGGGTTGATAAAGCAACAGTGAAACATGATTTTATTTACTCCACTTACACCTTACTCTCTGAAAGAGTGGTTGAGTATCTCAGACACTGGTGGCTGAAGAATCAAAAATCAGTTCAAACAGGAATCGAGTGAGACATGAGAGAGTCTAAGGGGGGAGATGGAAAAGGAAAATGATCTAGCCCTTCAAGCTTTTCAGGGACTACGATTCTAAGTAATGAGCCACGTCCTTATGGACATCTAGACCCTTTCTTAGATGCTGTGTATTTAAAGCAGGTAAATGGGTTGTTAGCGGTGCTAAAATCATACATGCAATAATATGATGAGAGGGATAAAATGTTTCTAATCCTAGTAATTTCTAACCGCTTCCGTGGTTCACCATGTTGAATGTCCCTGATTAGCAAGTGGAAGGCAGTGACATAATTGAGAGGTTATCTGTAGTAATAAAAATGCTCGAACCTGTCTTGGAATGTGATCCCTTTAACAGATAATTTTTAAGAATGTGGCATGTCCTTGCTTTCTCTGTTGAGACACACGTTAGTGATCCCAGGAGGGAAAATAAACATACGTTTTTAAATGAAGATATTTAAAATGTACCTCATATTTCAGCATGTTGCCGTAACCTGGTCTTTTTTATGTTCCTCCTATAAAACCTAAATTAAGCCTCTTAGGAGTGGTTTTGCTGCAGGTTTCATCTGAAAACACAATACGTTTTAAATGGTTCCAGTACTCGAGTGCACTTTAACATGAAATTCTCTTCTCCCTTCCCAGCACCAGCCCTTCCAAAAGGATGAGACTTCTTTAAAATTTAGCTTCATTTGAAATGTAAACTTTGAACAAATAGCAATTGCTCCTGTAGCTCTATTGATGAAGTGACTGGCAGCAAATCTTTTCTTCTTTTTTTTTTTTCCTCCCTCTCTCATGTAACATTTCGAAACACCCATCATTGTCAAAGGAAACTGCACACGTCTCCTTCGCTGCTCTAAATAAGGCTCAGCAATGTTAAGAAAAATGTCAGAAAAAGCTCAGTGGATTAAAGGAACATTTCTGCACCATGTCAGGGAGGATGGCAGGGCAGACGGGTCTGCATAATTCTGAAAGATATTTTGTGAACTGCTTACTCTGTAGACGGAATGAAATTTTACTCAGAAAGATTTGGTAGTGTATTAAATAACATACAACCGTTAGTTGTTTTTTTCGGAAACTTATTATTTTTTTAATATGCTTTTAGTATTTTTTTTAATTCGAACAATAATACACACTTCTTTTTGTGAAATGTTTCTCTACCCGTGTGCAGCGTTGAAATACATTTCAAACTCTTCCATGTATTTTTCTTTTCTTTCTTAAATTCCTGGGAGGTTCACACAGCAAAGGTAGTAAAAAAAAAAAAAAAAAAAAAAAAAACCCGCCCCTTTTACAACTCAAATTTTTTTACTGGTTGAGGTGGCCGGATCTCACATGGACAACTACAACTTTGTGGTCTGAGTCCTGGACCTGGCAGCTTGGAAAAAAACACTGGGCATATGCATATCTGTGCCCAAAACTGCCAAGAGAAGAAAGGAGGAGACAGGATGGTGATGTGGTCATTCTTCCTGAGGGGGGGGCGGGGGATGCTTTCTCATTGCATTCTCTGGCAAGCACATATATCCCAGCAAACTTAAAGGAGAAAACAAACAAAATACCCACAGAATTTCACCAGGATTCTGAATAACACGAATGCTTAAAAAATAAAAGTTATGAGGACCAACAGGTGGTGTGGTGGTTAAGGCACTAGACTCCCACATGGCTTGCCTTGTGGTTTGAGTCCCACACCGAGCGGCTTGCTTACTTTCTCTCTGGTGAATTAAAACATAAAAATAATAAATAAAAAAAAAAAAAAAAAAAAAAAAAAATGCTGGCCTCTTACACAGTCAAATTCATTGAACTAATCAGTCCTTTTCCTCTGAAATAAAATTTGTGTATCGCTTTGATATCCAGAGCAGTTGATGCTCACACACACATACACGCACGCATATATACACACACACACATGCACAATAAAGCATTTACATTTCATTTGTGCATTAAAGAGAAATAACTGGTATGAGGTTTTCAGTTTGTTTTGTTCTGTCTAAAAAAGTTTAATAATAATAGAATAATAGCAATAAAATATCCCATAGTATCATAAATATGTCATTCAAATGTAGCAATTAAAAAAGAGAGTATTCTACAAATTCAATACTAGATTGCCCCAGAAAGGACAAGATTCATTTTACAGAAGCAAGGAAAATCTCAGCTGATTTTAAATCTAAACTTTCCAAAACAGGTTGAAAATGAATTTAGACAAATTTGGCTCTTAACCTTTAAAGATTTCCTGCCTGTTTCTGTATGTCCTTTATTACATTAATTTTTTATTTAAATTACACCATTAACTGGATATGAATTTATCAAGAATACATGTATTGATTTATAAAACAGTACCATTAATTATTATAATAGCTAGATGTAGCTGATATTACAAAGCCATTTAAAGGTTTTTAATATAACTTGGACATACATAGATAGATAGACATTATGGACAAGACTACAATTTAAACTGGCTACCAGCAGTTAATGAAATCCTTGATTTATATTCTAGTTTAGAGATTGATTATATTGTTGCTTTGTAAAACTATTTATATTATGCCATTTTTCAAAGGATGTCTCAATAAAAAAGCTAAATAAAATATTCAGTCAATTCCCAAAGCAGATTTTGTTTTCTATATTTTAAATGCTAGTGAAAATAATTGATTATGTGTGTTCCAAGCGTTGTCATTTCCATTCCAGAGGTGGCTTTCCTGATGGGAGCCTCGTTTACATATGCACACTTTCACTCACTTTGGATCCTTGCAGAAATAAACCCCTTCTCTTTATTTCAGTATCCCTCCCAACAAACCCATGTATATTTCACAAACCCCACACATCAGGACACATAAGTCTTTTTGGCATCTTTTATGTTATGCATTTTTTTTTTCTTAAGGTTGTGGAAAACTGGGACTTACCCCAAAGCCGCAAAGCAGGCAATCACGAAGAGTATTTGGGTAAGAATGCAATCTGAAGAGAAAAAAAGAAAAATGAGGAAGAATATAAGCAAATAACAGTAACACTTTCCAATTACTTTTCAAATGGTAATTAGCCAGCGAATAGATTGAAAGTTACATTCTTTTCACATTGTACTTGGTTTGGGTCTCCTAGTCTCTTTATTTATATCACTTTTCCTTGCCTGGTAACATATGTTACCGATTTATTATAGTATTTTTACTGTTAGCAGACAAATCTAAAGGCTAGCTGAGAAGGCTAGTTTCATCTGATGACTTTAACAACAACTGCAGGGCATCCTTGAGGGTGAGCCAATAGGCTCTTTTGAAGCTATAATACTATTAACCATTTTGATGCCAAAATATTTCTCATAGCCAAAGTTGGTTCTGTCTTTTTGCAGGCACTCTGGGTTTTACATACACAAAAGTTCAATGTAAATGGTTTGTTTTGTAAATATTTCAATAGTATTCTAAGCACTTTCTGCCACGTGTCTTACGTTTTCTAAAAGCCTTATGAATATATCACTTTCTTTATTTCCCCCTTCCTTTACAGGACACTGAAATCTGTGGCACACATTTGTAAGTAAACAACTATCAAACATCAAGGGAAATTGTCACCCCACCCTCCCCCATGCCATTAATTCTCTGCTATGCTATTGAAAGAAACAAACATCCTTTCGAGTTTAAATGATCACATTTCTCTGATATATGAACAGCCCACAAAAATAAAGTTTAAGCCAGATTCCTTTTGACTAAAAATCTGAAATTGGATTCTAAATTAGAGATGTCCTAGATGGAGGCCATTTGATTGTATACAGAACACTAGTGAAAGGTTTTTGTGTATTAATAAGTCTACACCAGATAGTTGTAGAATTATATCTGTTGAGTAACAGCATTCACTTGAAAGTTGCTAAATAACAAACTTTTATTTTTGATCGCTCGTAATTTACTTCAGTTTAAAGCAGCTACTCGTTTTAATTTTAAAAATTGGATAAATTTCATTCTTCCTTTAAATATCTATGTGGGGTTCACTTAAAATTTTAGGTGCATTTTGTAGAATTTCCTTTGAGTGCTCATGACTTGAAATTCTGAAATTAAATCTCATATATTGGAAGCCAGTGTAAAGGTCTAGCTAGGCAACCAAAAATTAATATAATTTTGATATTAGAATTCAATCAATAAAAAACATATTCATGACAGCACTTAGGGGTCTAACTGTCAAAAAAGTGAATTTTGAGGATCTGAAATGCACTCTGTACAGCTAGGATCCTGAAGGCACTAAGACACAGTGTCTGCCCAAACAAATCTAACACAGCAGATTCTATCCACAAATTGCAACAGTGCTACACCTCTCCAGCGTATTTAAGAATACACAACTGGGAGCCGGCAGGTGGCGTGGTGAAGGGCGCTAGACTCCCACATGGCTGACTGTGGTTCAAGTCCCAGATCTAGTGGCTTTCTTTTTTCCTTTCTCTCTCCCTCTCT